AAGGAGTTTTTCCCTTAATTTCCTATTCAGCCACCTCCCACATTATGCTAAAAAGAAGAAAGCATGCTGTATATCTGTAGATAGAGGGTTTCTGTGGTATTCATTCTTGGGGTGGAGAATAGGAAATGAAAGAGCTCATAGGACAGCTTTGAAGATGAGCATAAATGACATGATGGGATAGGGCAAAGAGCACTAAATTACTGGAATTAAAATATGTTACCCTTATTGCTAACCTGAATGGTGTTAGCAGAATAGTACCTAGGTTCTTGTAGGTAAGAGGTATTCAGTTCCTAAGTGAGCTTTACGTAGAAGCACGGAATTGCTAGGGCAATGGGTAACCATCAGATAACATTTAAAAAGCATTCCATAAAAATGGAACAGGCAGAATGATCCAATTTACCTAGCAGTCTGGAAGCAACTAACAAAGTCTAAAGGAATTTTGTCGAAAACTTAGAACATCTTTCTGCTGACATGGTGGTTTTCCATTATCTTTGACTTGCAGGCCTTTTTTTTTTTTTTTTTTTTTTTTTTTTTGTTATCTTGAACGATAGTAAGACCTAATGTCTCTTTGCAGATCACTTGGAAATAGTCCCCTATAAAGGGCCTGCTCTTCTGAGAGGTGTTCTCTATTTTGGGGATACAGGTTACAGGAAGGTGAACATTACTGTGTGGTGATGAAAAGGCTGCAAGTCTGACCAATTCAAGTGGAGGATACACTGCTCTATTTAATCCCTATTTAAAACAGCATAAGAGAATCACATGTCTTTAAACAAACAAAAAAAAAAAAAGAAAACTAAGCAAATAGAATTCTCTCTAAATGAGAAAGTCAGTAATGTTGCAGTTAAATGATTATGTTAATTCTTTAAAATATAGATAGTTAAAAATAATGTTTTTTCTTTGGAACGTATATGTTAAAGTACAAGAAGATGCCCTTAGACTGTCATCTCAGTCCCAATAACTGCTGAGAAGGATCTAGAAGTCCTACAATATCATCTATGAAATCCTCTTTCCAATTTCTGTACTTTTAGAATGGGGCTCATTCTTAGGAAAAAGAATATAATAGAAAAAAAAATTAGCTACAGTAATAAACTTGGTATATCTGTAATTGATAGTTTATACACAATTGCATCACAACATACAGATATGTTACAGTGATCCAAACCAATTTTTTTACACCATATATTGCATTCTCTAAATTGTATATGCAGATATTAGAGTGAAGGGGAAAAAAATCAAGTCCTTAATTTATGTGTACTTCTCCAGACTCGTGACATGCTGGGTTTGATCAAACACTATTACACATAATCTTATTATAGCTTGTTATGCCTTTCACCAACCAGTATTTCTGTTCAGTGTCTTAAAGAACAACCCTTCAAGTAAGTTGGCTAGAAGTATTAGCAATTAGTATATTAATTAATGGGGTTGTGACTACAGTTACTCACTTCAAAAATTTATTATGCATATGAAAAGTATTATTAGAGAAATGCTGTTATATCTCAACTTTTTAAAAGAATCTCGTTTTTGTTTTTTTCTGTACATTTTTTAAAAGGTTAGAAACAGTTGTAGTAAAACTGACAAGCGTTAGTGTATTGTTTATGCTCAGACATTAACTCATTATTTTAAACAAGTTCAGTTTATCAAAAATCTTTACCTTGAGTCTTTCATTTCCATTTGTTTATAGGTCTTCCATTCCATGACTTTTAAACAGTTCACACATTAAGTTCATTTATCCATAAAACATTTCTACAAGACAGTGAAATGATATAAAGTCTGTGCCTTTTACAGGCGGGCTCAGGGGGCAGAAAGTGTTCAAGTGTTGTTCAGAGGGGATTTCCCATCATGATCTCCTACATCACAGGAGTGACTGTTGAAATTACTGAGCAAAAGCTGTTTAGAGTCAGCAAATAAGGAATGTAAACTACAGAGATTTGCATGGATTAAGGTTTCTGACCCGTGATGCTTGGTGACAGGGGTGCTGTACCAGAGGAGAGTCCTATTCGCAGTCTTAGTCTAGAACCTTAGTCTAAGACCTGAGAACAACTACAAAGTAAAATCTGCCAGGCTTCTTTTTCTCTGGAGTTTTATTTTAAATGTGTTTTCTTCATCTGTCTCATTACAGGTAGTAGTGTGTACGTCTGTCAGCAGAAAGGAAAAGCAATATACAGTGTCAATGGCTCCAATTAAAAAAAAAAAATTAAAAAGGTCTGATTAGATGGTGCTGTTCCTTTATCTTGGTTATCTTATGTAATTCTTCTGGGTTAGTTCACTTCTTGGGAATTGTTTGTTTAAAGCATATTTGTTGTAGGAAAGAATTTATTTTCGCTTGAGAAAGCTTCATTGCATTAGGGACTTACAGCTAAGTATATATGATGATCCCATTTCGTGCTGAACTTTGTCTAAGAGAGGTCTCTCTTGACTGCAGGATAGATCATTTATATTCGATGACAAAGGAGACCCCCCATTTTCCTCTACTATTGCTGTAGTCCAGAGCACACTGGTTGAAAGATTGCTCTCTACAGGAAATGCCAGTTCTCTGTCTTTATGATGGCTATGTTTTTAAATATGGTATGTTTCTTCTGATCCCTATGGTCAGTTCTGATGTGCTGATGATGGTCAGAAGCCTGCTGATAAGTACCTAATGATGTATCTGCTCCCATGACAAGTTCTAAGTGTCCTTGCATCTTTCACTGCCTTTCAGCTTTGTGGTCTGGGGCTAGTGGGTAGTGACTATCAGACCTGGCTTTTGAGAAGCCCATCAGTCCAGTGCTGTCTGTGACTGTTGCTCCTTTTGAAGACTTTAAGAAAATGGACACTTTGGTTGCTCTGTTTAAGAGCACAGCTCTGAACTTGGATTCCCCACTCTGAGCCTTTTTTCCCTCAGGGTATATAGTTGGGCTGTTCTAACTCAGATTAGGTCTTGAAAGAAAAGCCTAAATAAAGCCTTGCACAGGATGAGCCATCATCCAGAGATGGCCTTTCAGCAGCATAATTCATTTTCCGGATGGAGTCTTACCGGCCAGACAGAGCAGCCCTTTGTCTTTCAGCACTCTTCCATTACTAACTGTCTTTTTTTTCAGCAGCAGCAAGGGCAATGTAATTCCAGTCCATGTGGGTAGGGATTTTTTTTTATGGGTTTGCTGGAGTTTTTTTATATTTATAGTAAGACTCAAGTGTTCCAGTCTGAATACATTTTCATACAGTTCAACCAGTTATTAACTGTAATGGAGCATTTCTCTATAAGGGCCTATTGTTGCCCTTGAATTAAAATCCCCCTGTCTTTCCCCTGGGGCTGCAGGATAGCAAGTACCTACAGAATATCATCACCTGAAAATCTGCAAGCATGAATCGCCTTCCACTGCAGAGGGAGAACACTTTCTCTCTTACTGGCAGAATCATTCCTCCCAAATAAACACTCCAAAGCAAGGTTAGCTCAGCATTCAGCCTCACATTTTAGCTGAGAGCGATTTAGTCAAAGCAAATCCAGACAGACAGCGCCTTTCATTTCTGCATCAGAAGAGGGAGAGAGAAGGGAAACAATACATCTCCCAGTGCCCCTCTGTTGGTAGGATGGAGCGCCGCAGTGGTCCCTTGTGAGCACATTTACAGTCTTTGCAACTTGAGGATCCTGCTCTTCCCTGAGACCCCACATATTCCAAGGGCAATTCTGCCTGCTATGGCTGGGGGTGGAGCATTGGGTTCCTTCATCCACATTGTCAATCCATCCTTAAAGTTGTTCCCCATATACTTACCAAAGCTGTATTCATTTCTTCTTGGGTCAAGAATCTTCCCTGTCTGTCCTTTCCTCTGGAAAGTTGCACTCGTTTGATGGAGAGAGTGCTCTGCATGTTAACATTTTGCCTTTATTTTAAGATAGAAGTATATTGCTTATTCTAATTTGATTTGTCTGTGGCCTCAGGAAAATTTCAACTGATACTAATTTGTAATGTCTTGTCAAATTGAGGCCTATATTAAGACACCTTGTGCTGCTTGAAGTTACATGTTCCACCATACAGCAAAGCAGTACTTGTGGGAACTGTGACTTTAATGGGAACCCTTTGTCTTTCATGGAACATGCTACCACTCTTCCATGCCATTTTATAACCTCTGTGCCTTTATGTTGCAGACAGCCTTTCCTTTCTTGTGCTGCTTTTTTCTTTAGTTACTTCATGTTGCTTTATTTTCTGGCATTGAATGTTACTGTTGGCTTTTCCTAGAAGTGGGCTGGCATAGAGAGAGATTGGAGAAAGAAATTACTGTTTGTTATTTCTTCTCTAAATCTGTATAGTTCAGCTCAGAAATCTCATTTTGTTGTGTAGCAGGAACAGACATTTCATCTTGACAGATTTTAGATCATCTGAGCAGCACTGATTCTCTGTCAAGGTCACTCGGTCTGTTTAAAATGAAATTATGGCATGAGGGTTTTTTTCTCCTAACTCAAGTGTTAGAAAAACCTGAATCCCTCTGACCTGGTAAGAGGATACATCTGGTGAGATTTCTTTTCATCATATGCTAATTTAGTTTTCAGATCCATAATTTAATTTCTTCACTTATTTTCTGACAGGACAGCAAAAGGGTAGTACTGACTGGATAGGAATAAATATGTATTTGCTTTTCATTTCTACAATATTTCACAAAAAGTGAAGTGTCACACTGTTATTTTCCCTTACCACTTCCATACAAATGCTTCATCGGTGCTACATATAAAATATTATGTAAGAGCATAGGGTCAAAGCCTAAAGAAAAGTACCAGTTTGAACAGAAACTTCTTAGAGACCTTTTATGTTGGGGAAGTGACCTTGGTTTGAGGATGTAATCTGAGATGTTCACAGTGATTAGTGGGAACCTAAGTAACTAAGAAGAGTGTTTAGTTTGATTTCATGTTTTGTGACCTGTGCTCTGTGATGTTTTTCATTCAGTTTTACATTACAGTTATAAGGTGTGCACCCTTTAATTTTTCAGTGTCTGCAAAATCTTAAAATAAACAATTTTTATCTTAACAGGACATGGAGCAGATGTGAAATGTGTTGACTGGCATCCAACAAAGGGGTTAGTTGTATCAGGAAGTAAAGATAGCCAACAGCCCATCAAGTTCTGGGATCCAAAGACAGGCCAAAGCCTTGCCACACTGTAAGTTCTTGCCCACAAACATTGATTTGCTCAAATACAAGCTAACTTAATTTTTTTTTTCCAAATTCCCTTCTTAGCTTTTTGCCTCACATCTTTTCAGCCATACACAATTGCTTCAAATATAAAGCTAGTGCCAGAAAATCTAGAGGTTAGATGAAGTCAAATCTGTACTTGGAAAACTGTGACTTTAATATTCCTTATTTTAATTTACTTTATCCTTCTCCATAGACCTCCTAGTCACACAGTTCTCATTGAGAAAACAGATTTGAGATACGGAAACACATATGAGATGTTTCATCTGGCTGATGAAAAATTTCTTATGCTGCAGTAGAAGTGTGCACAGTAACTGAACGCTGTCTCAATAAGCACTGCCAGTTGTTCTGAAGTCCGAAAGAACAGGATTAAAGCATAGGGCCTTTGGACAGAAAGCCACAGTATGGTTTAGTAGCCTGAACTACTTTGTTATTGACCTGAATGTTTGGGACTGGTAAATTACTGCATTTTTATTTGTGTCTGAGAAATCAGTATCTGGACAAACAGTCTTGGTTTTGTCTGCTTGCAGACATGCTCATAAAAACACAGTGATGGAAGTGAAATTGAATCTGAATGGCAACTGGCTGCTAACAGCTTCTCGTGACCATCTCTGTAAGCTCTTTGACATTCGTAATCTGAAAGAAGAACTTCAGGTCTTCAGGGGTCATAAGAAGGAGGCCACAGGTCAGAATTTGTTATATTATGTGGATTTTTATTAATAGGTTTGGATTAAAAATTAAATTTTTTCAGATCCTGGTTTCCATTCATTAAAAATACTAGTGTTATACTTTCTGATTGTGGCTTGCTCTGTATTTCAGCTGTGGCCTGGCATCCTGTTCATGAAGGGCTGTTTGCCAGTGGAGGATCTGATGGCTCTTTGTTGTTCTGGCATGTTGGGTATGTGGCATTTTCATCAGCATGTTGGAAAGATGTTGGTCAGATGTGCAAACTATTATACTAAACATGAAATATAATTTTCAGCCTTGAATCTGTATTTAACTTCTATGTTTATGGTATAGTTTTTCTCTATACCTGAGAAAGTTTATGAATATGCATCATTTATGAAGAAGTTTTTCTGTGCAGATGTATATTAAAAAATAGAATTACTTGCACAGAAAACAGTCACTTGTTGAGAGGGTAATGAATAGTTGACACTCGTAGTTTCTTAGAGCTTGTTCTGAGATGTAATTATTTTGTTTCTAAATGTACAGTTAAAAATCCATGCGTTACTAAATTCCCTGTTAAGGACAACTGGGAATGATCACCCAAGAGAAAAATTCGGAGTCTTAAGTTTGGCAAAATATGGGATAGAGGAAGAGGAACAACTGAATAGCAGAAGTTTTGTATTGTATCTGTAGCAGATACTTAGCTGTGTGATGACTGTTTTTTTGGTTTTTTTTTTTGTTTTTTTTTAAATGCATCAGGGTTGAGAAGGAGGTTGGTGGAATGGAAATGGCTCATGAGGGAATGATCTGGAGTTTGGCATGGCATCCTCTTGGACACATTCTCTGTTCAGGCTCAAATGATCACACCAGGTACTTTCAAGTATTTAAAGAAAAGATCTAAGGGAATATATGTACATTTAGGAACTAGAAAGGTGCATGGCATCAGGGAACAAAGAATAGATTGGGATGAATCTGATACACAATCAGTGGGCAAAACAGAGACACAAACTTACCTAAATGGGAAGGCACTAACATTTTACACTAGAAGGTAGTGGCTAAGCTCTTATCCTTCATCTAAGGAAGCCTTAAAAATAGTAGGATTTGGGGTTTGTGAGAGCTTTGAAATCTCATGAAGAAATTTTAAAAAAATTGTTGTAGTTTCTTGCTGAAGAAAAATACTTATCTCCTCAGCATTTTTCTCCCACAGATCATCTGCTTGTCATGTCTGTCTTTTCACATTGCAAACGTATTTGAAGGCATATAGTTTGTGTTCTTAGCTTGAACATGCTGTAAAAATAGAGCATTTTATAAATGGAGTAACTTTTTGTGTGTGGGTGTGTATTGACAAGTTTAGTTGTACATGAATGTATTTGAATTGAGCGAGAAGTTTTTGGAATGGACTAGAGAGATATCTGTCTATTCAGTATCTGATGTTGGTGCCTTGTACTCATACCCTGTATGCTTTGAAGTATCTTCTGAATTGTAACTATATAATTCAATATGATAATTGTTAGGGTTTTAATTTTTGGTTTGATCCTCACATCTAATGTTCAGATCTAGCACTGAGCTTGATTTAGTAAGAGTTGAATCCTTGTATAATCAAGATAGCACGCTAAAAGTTAAAAGGTAGTTAATACTCTTGACCCTTTATTGAGATTGTATAACTTTGTTTTGACAGTAAGTTTTGGACTAGAAATCGGCCTGGAGATAAAATGCGAGATCGTTACAACCTGAATCTGCTGCCTGGGATGTCAGAGGATGGTGTGGAATACGGTAAGGCAATTTCCATCAGTATGGAAGAAAGGGTGTTGGGGTCAGGAACCAAGCCTGGGTCGTTAGCTGACACTAGAGTGCAGCTTCTGGGTAAGATGATGAAACAGGATTATAGCATTGGTGACTACCTAGACAAAGATATTTTTTACAAGGATGATTTTATTCTCCATGTTATCAGAGATCACCATTCCAACAATGGGTTTTCTTTTGTTTCCACAGCTCCAGGAGGTAAGACCTGCTCTGTCAGTCACAGGAAGGTTTGACTCTCCCTCCCACTGGCAATATCCCCCATTTACTTTTCTTCCTGATAACGTCATGTGACTTCAAGACTTCCCACAGTCCTGAACTACAGCAGGAAAAATCTTTCGAATTACTGAACTTGACTAAAATTTTAAAACTTTACCCCCCCTTCTAAGGGTGTATTTTGGTAATTTTAGGCTGCCCAGGGTTGCCCAGCTCTATGGCATGCCTCAGCAACCCTTTCAACTCTGAGCTGGTATCTCTTCAGATTTTTGGTTATTTGCTCTTTTGTGTTTGGGAATATAAATTAAAATGCAACACTTTAATCAAATTTAAGTTTTAAAATATAGAGATTTGTTATAACAAAAACAGGAATGGGTATGGGGTTTTATTTCCTTTTCTGAGCTTCTACCCTAAATGTAACTTCCCTGAAAGGACATAGTTTCTGACATTTTGGGGTGTATTTATAAATTTGAATTTGAAGTTCTTTTAATATCCTATAATTCATGTATGGAATTAAAAAGTGACCCACTGGTTGTGAGATATGTAATGGTACCAATGTTAAACATGTGAGAACCCAAAGGCTTAAAATGATAATGTGAAAATAAATGTTCCAAGTATAATTATATATTGTTTTTCTTTAGATGATTTGGAACCCAACAGCCTAGCAGTTATTCCTGGGATGGGAATACCTGAACAACTGAAAATAGCCATGGAGCAAGAGCAGATGGGTAGGTAGTAGCTATGGGGAAGCATTTTTCTGAGCCATCCAGATGCTGTGTGACTACTTTCATTCCTTTCATATATTTTGGTAGCACAGACACTTTTTTCTAAAATTTTGTATTGTGTGCATTTCCCACATAAAGAAGGAAGAGTTGAAAACTTCTTTGTCTCTCTTGTTAAATAAACTGTAAAGAGAGTAACAGGATTGCTCTGTAAACCTGCACTGCTCTGACTGTCTCTGTGTTGCTAAAGGGAAAGATGAGTCCAATGACATTGAAATGACAATCCCAGGCCTGGATTGGGGAATGGAGGAAGTAATGCAAAAGGACCAAAAGAAGGTGCCACAGAAAAAAGTACCCTATGCAAAACCAATACCAGCACAGTTTCAGCAGGTAAGTACGTGATACACTGTGATCAGGAGATCAACTTGTTATTTTCCCAACCTCAGAAAGGGTGTGGCCATTGAAATGTTTTGGATTTGGATTATCAACTCTTTTATATCAACACCCAGTGCAAAATCATTTACCACAGTGGTTAGTTTAATTAATATTTAAGCATGAAATATTTGGTTAAATCCTTTATATCTTGTATCTGGAAAATAGGATGTTATAAGATATGGAAATTTTATTCAGTATTGTTTTTAGCTTCTAAATATCCATACTACACAGTGTTCTAGTATATCCTGTCCCAGGGCAGCAATATATTGCATCCGTATTGTTCTACAGAATTCATCTTGTGTTTACTGTTCTTTATAGGCATGGATGCAGAATAAAGTTCCTTTGCCTCCCCCACCTGAGCCACTGAATGATAGAAAGGAAGATATTAAGCTGGAGGAGAAAAAGAAGACACAGGCAGAGATTGAACAGGAAATGGCAGCACTTCAGTACACAAACCCACAACTCTTGGAGGTGCGTATGTAACGACAGTTATTAGTAAATTTCTTCTAGTGCTCTATGTGATATATTTGGACCTCAACACTAAAACAGGTAGCTTGCTTTTGTAGTACTGTTTTCATCTTTTCACAGGATATCGAACTTAATCCATGATGCTATGAAACCTTCAGTGAGGCCCCTACGTTTCAGTTAACTAATACTGATCTATGGATCTCTTTAGTTATATTTCTCTTAAGAGAAAAGCACTAAATATTTTAAAACTCCTGAGAAATTAGGTGATTGCTTCTGATTTTTAGTTATTACATATAGTTCTGCGCTTAGTTGATTTTCTGGGTCTCTTATTTTTTTTGGACAGCAATTGAAAATTGAGAGACTGGCACAAAAGCAAGCTGAACAAGTGCAGCCACCACCTCCAGGAGGTTCTCTTCACGGACCCCAGCCTTTTCCAGGGCAAGGCCCAATGTCACAGATGCCTCAAGGATTTCAGCAGCCCCTTCCACCTCAGCAGATGCCAATGAATATGCCTCAGATGGGACCTCCTGGTCCACAAGGACAGTTCAGGCCTCCGGGACCCCAAGGACAAATGGGACCTCAAGGTCCTCCATTACACCAAGGAGCTGCAGGTCCACAAGGGTTCATGGGACCACAAGGACCTCCAGGCCCCCAAGGGCCTCCACAAGGAATGCCACGGCCTCAGGATTTACATGGACATCAAGGAATGCAGCGACATCCTGGCCCTCACGGGCCAATGGGGCCTCCAGGTCCACAGGGTAATGCTGGCCCACAAGGCCACTTAGGACCACAGGGTCTCCCTGGCTCGCAGACTCATTTAGGACCGCAGGGTCCGCCTGGCCCACAAGGTCACTTGGGGCCTCAAGGTCCTCCTGGTGGCCAAGGAATGCAGGGGCCGCCTGGTCCCCGAGGAATGCAAGGACCTCTTCCTCATGGCATGCAAGGAGCTCCAGGATCCCAAGGGATGCAGGGCCCTATATCACAAGGGCCTTTGATGGGACTTAATCCAAGAGGGATGCAGGGTCCACCAGGACCCAGAGATAACCAGGGACCTACTCCACAAGGGATGATGATGGGTCATCCGCAAGAAATGAGAGGTCCTCATATGCAAAGTGGTTTACTAGGACATGGTCCCCAGGAGATGAGGGGCCTCCAGGGACCCCCGCCTCAAGGTACAATGTTAGGACCGCCACAAGAACTGCGTGGGCCACCAGGTCCACAGGGCCAGCAGGGACCTCCACAAGGCTCTTTAGTAGGGCCTCAAGGAAACATGCAAGGACCTCAGGGACAACCGAACCCTTCAAGGGGGCCGCACCCTTCCCAGGGCCCTCTGCCCTTCCAGCAGCAGAAAACACCTCTGTTGGGTGATGGGCCTCGTCCCCCATTTAATCAGGTACGTGTTGGTCTGTATAATAAGAGTGCTGAGAATGTAGGAGTGATAATGTCATGCAGTAGAAATGCAGAGCAAGAGCTGAGAGGCTGGAGGTTTGGTACACTTGCAAGACTGAGGCCTCATGAAAACTTAAATGGTAATGAAAAGCGTTATATAGTTTGGAAGCAGCAGAGGTAACTACAGAAGGGATTTTTGGAAATACTCGTACAGAAATCACTCTGCTGCAAAAACATAACCTTAAGAGAAACTTCAGGTTTTTAAAAAATACTTAAATGGGAATTTCCTGTGGAGTATGTAAGCACTAATAAAAGTTGAATTTAAGCAAACTGAACGTAAGAAAACTCATATCTATTAATTAAAAGTTACTGCCAACTCTGTTGTCCCAGAGTTAATCTGAACTATGGGATGAATTCACTATAGATGCTGACACCCCGTAACAGTTTAGGTCTGGATGAACTCCTCATTCAAATTAAGCACATAAGAACCCGGCTATCCTGCTTCCTACCTTGGTATAGAAATTGTTTAGCCACCTTTGTACCTTCTGGAGCACGAGTTAATAGATTGGTGGTGTACACCGTTAACTCATTACTGCACTGTTTGCCCAGGTATCAGATGGGTTTGTGTACGACTAGCCCAGGTCTGATAGGATGAGCACTGAGCTGGAACTGCTGAGCGTGGCCTGGGTGTGTGCTGACCACTGCGCTGCCAGTTGGTTGTCCCTGTGTCGTGCTGCCTTGGCATTCAGCTCCAGGAAGTTTCACCCACTCAGCAATATAGTTGTGCTTAGCTGACATCGAGTACTGGAGTGTCACTTATAGATGCACCAATTAATTCTACAGGAATCAAGTCAGGTTTTGATTAAGTCTGGTTCAGTACCAGGTGCAACCTGCTCTGCCCTCTTCAGCATCTTTTGTAACAGGCTTATTCCATCTTCTGATCGAACACAGAGAACACAGAGCTTTCTGTATTTATTAGCTCTTACAAGTTCCTATTTATATGGAACTGATTCTCTACTTAAAATTTCTCTTGTCTTCTGCTTTAAGTTGAATTTTGAAGGGTATGTTTGGAAAAAAAAAGTACTTAATTTAAAAAATGTGTGGGGTTTTTTAAACAGTTAACTCTTTTACACTTGCACTCAGTAGTTTCTAGCTAAAGCTTTAGACAGGTATGGATATAGTTCTTAGCATGCAGTCCAGTACCAATCAGTGAGTGATGACGTATTGAAATGAGCTTTAGCGCAGTGATTCCATTTCAGGTTGAGGCAGAGTAGCCTAAAAATTGTGTGTTTATTTGAATATTTTCCTTACAAATCAGCAGTAATTCCTTCCAGAAGTCTGTTAGTATGATGCTGTTGCTGAGATCTCAGAAGCATCCAAAGTTAAACGAATGAGAGTTGCTTCCACAACTTAAACTAGTGTAGTGTTTTTCATTGCTGTCTCAGGGAGACTAACTTTTCTGCTTCGAGAATAATAGTGTGTGTATAAAAGTTTATGTATGCTTACATATAGGTGTAGGGCCCATCCTTGTCTGACCCTGGTGTTAACACTGGTCAGAATTCAGTAAGTTGCTTTTGACAGGTAACCAGTTAATTTCAATGAACACTGCTCTCCTGAAGTCTTTAAAGGTATTAAAAGAAGACAAAGCAAGGTATTTTTGACCATTTTTCCTTCCTTGTGCTGCTTTAGTATGGCAACATCTCTTAAAAATGAATAGATTTTAAAATTTGTCATGTCAGTTTTTGCTCCAGTTTGCTTCCTTGTAATATGAATATAATAGAGCCTTTTTAAATAGGAGCTCCTGTCTCTGATTTTCTTAAACAATAGTCTTTAGCTTGTTTTTTGTTCTGAATTTGACATTTTATCTTCCGTAAACTTGTACAAATCACTTGCTTTCCTTTTCAGTAGTGGGAGTGTATGAATATATATATTTGCTTTGTCAAGGGCTTGTGACAGTAATACTGAGCATTTATACATACTTGTAAAGGTTAATCTCCATAATAGATACCACTATTGCCTGCATCTGCTATTGGAAAGCAGGGGTTTACGGCAGTGTGTGGGTGATGTACATCTCTCTCTCCCTGTATGTGAGATCTGCTACCTTCTGCAAATGTGAAACGGAAGAAAGAACTGTTTATGAGAAAGAAATTGTCTGAGATATGATTGACAAAATCTTATTCTAGACATAGGCATGTTGATATTAAAATGCAGATGGATAAATAGAATATTCCCAAGTTAGCAGTAGTACTTTGGAGCTCTTTTGCTATGGCTAATTTAGATTCGATCTTCTCACATTCCTTTTGGTTAGATGTGCTGAATTTCATCTCACTGGTTGAGTGAGGTACGCATACTTCAAGCCAAGTCTCTTGTCCACGTAGAGACAAACTTTAGGAGCTTGTGCAGTATTTTAGAAACAAACACAATTTTTTCTTATGAGTGAATGCAAAGAATTCTTTCCCCCTTCTGTGCATAGTTTTAATTAATACAGATGGCTGTCCTAAAATGGCTGTGCTGCTTGCACCTATAGGGCAGATACACCAGTAATGGGGAGCAGCTGTGTTCTGCTGCACCAGCTTATCTGACTGGTGCAGAACCTCAACCCGTGTTGGGGAACCTTGAGCCGGCAGTGGAGGCGGTGCAAGGTGCTCCAGACCTCCCCGCCTTGAGGTGTGGGGTACGCAAGGCCATTTACAGCTTTGTTATGGTATTGCCTACTGAGCTGTCCATACTTGTTTCTCAGTTTTGAGCCCAGAATGTATTTTGAAATGAAAGGCATGGCTTTGTCTTCCTGTCTTGTTAAAGCAAAATTTGTTTGGAATAGCAGTTTTTGCTAAACGTTAAGGAAACTCATTTAGTGAGTGCTAAAAATTGCTGCTTTGGTTAAACACAAGTGGCATAAATTTAAGAAGTTCCATAGTTTACTGCAAGTAAGCATATGCTAAATATGAGAAATCATGGAATTCCAGCAGGGTTTTGGTCAAGAGTGGCAGAAGTACTGTGATAGCTGGGTCTTACCTAGTCGGGGAGTTTATCTGTTCTGGACTAAAGTCCACGTTCAATCAGTAGGAAAGTATTTTTGGGGGGGCTTTTTAATGTTAATCGGACCAGGCCTTTCATTTTGCCTTTTCTTTTTTTCCAAAGTCCTTAGAAATTACTCTGTGCAAATGTGATGTTTATAGTATATATTTGTTTGCTTTTTTGTGTTTATCACCTATATTGCAGTTGAATATAAATGTTTAATTTAAAACCAGTATTTCAAGCTATGATGGGAAAAATACACAAATGAACTTACTGCTTCTTTGCAACCAGAAGAAAAAAAGGCAGTGTTTCTCAAAAGTAAGTGTAGAACATGAAAATTATTTAACTTTGATTCATGGAGAGATGAAGCAGTGTAATTATGAGTACAATGACAGGTGATGGAGTATAGGTTTTTAAGTATTTACAAACTACCTGCAATTTGGAGGGTATTTTACAAGTGAATACGAAGGCCAAGTCTAGATCTTACATGTTAGACATGTCTAGGAAAAAAATATTGCATGTTTAGGGTTTTCTGGTATGGTTGGGGGGGTGGTGGTGGTTTGATGATGATGTGAACATAAAAAGATTTTGTCTAGTAATCTTTTCAGTTTCAACTCTGGTGTTCACAGTGATGCTTTTTTATTGTTGAATCTGATTGCTACAGTGTAAATTATGTACGTGCCCCCTTTAGTTCCAGCCAAGTACAAACCCCAAATAATGACTTTTTCTCCGGCCTTTGCTCTTTACATACAGAATCGGACAGTTCAACCACATTGTTTCCCAACTAATGTAATCATAGTGGGTCCAGTGTAAACATGGTACCCGTAGAAATCTTTCATGGGTCTGTGGCAGTACCTGAATTTAAAGAACATTATTTTATCCTTTAAATTCATTTAAAAAAAGACAGAAAATAACAAACAACTTATATATATACTTTATTTTTAATTTGGGATCATAGAATTTATACAAACCTCTGCTCTCTCTAATGCTTCTGCTTGAGAAAAGCAGGTGATTGTAGGTTCTGCCTTTAGCCCTGTCATTGCATAAGAACCCAGTAACAACTTGCTTCTCGGTGCTTTGCCAAGTATTAGAACTTTCTTTTGACTCTAGAATTAGAATTAAGAGAAAGAAACTTTGCTAGCATGTTAAAAATGAAACTCACATATTTCTATGTTAACAGTTTATGAAGGGTTTATAGGAGAGGTTCTCTTATGGCCCTGTTGTTGTTCCCCCATCCCAACATTCTTCATATTTTTATTTTTTCATTGATTTAAATTTTTGTTAATTTCCAAAGGAAGTCTTTGATCTATGTAGCTTTTTAACTGCATATAAAGCAGTACCTGGTATTTTTCAAACAACATACATAGTTTCCTCATCTTTTCTAACAGGCAACAAGAGTATGAGCTTTATCATCTTTGGTTGTTACAGACAAAATACTAGTCCTTGAAATGCTAAGTTTCCTATAAAATTATGTGTTTCCCAGACAGTGACTTTAAAGTATTACTGATGTGAATGTCTGAAAAATTAGCCGGAAACCATTGGAAAATTAGCTGTTTCTATTGCAAGACCTGTGCAGATGTAGTCTTTACGTAAATAAATCTGTTTTTCCCCCCTTACAAAATGCTTAGAAGCATAAAATACTCACGCATGGCAACTCACATGGCTTTTATATGCTTATAGGATGGACAGAACCCAGGTCCTCCACCACTTATACCAGGACTGGGGCAGCAGGGAGGACAAGGTCGTCTTGGCCCTCACAACCAAGGACCCGGTCTTAATAAAGGTAACTAAATATGTTGTCTGTTCTTCTGTGAGTAATTCCTCTAAAAGAGGCTGTTCCAGTGCAGTACCTCTAAACAGAAAAGGCTACATCAGAACACAGGGCCTTGGCTGAGAGGAAAGCTTCTGCAGATTTGGGCTGGAATATAGAGGAAAAGTTTTCACCCCAAAATTATTTAATGTGAAATGTATGGTGTATGCTTTATAGAACTGCACGAACTAGAACATCCTAGAGCATTTTTAGAAAACGTTACAGAAATCTGCTATGATTTTTTCCCTCAAGGTGACTCCCGTGGTCCACCAAACCATCACATGGGCCCTCTCTCAGATAGAAGGCACGACCAGAACAGTGGTGGTCCTGATCATGGGCCTGAGAGAGGGTTGTTTCGAGGTGGCCAGGAGTGGGGTGATGGTAGAGACAGCAGGGGCATGCCAGATAGACGAGGACCTCACCCAGATTTCCATGATGACTTTGATCGACCAGATGACTTCCGTGACGACTTCCATCCAGATAAGAGATTTGGCCATCGATTACGGGAATTTGAGGGGAGAGGAGGCCCACCACTGCAAGATGAAAAATGGAGACGAGGTGGACCTGGGCCTCCATTTCCTCCTGATCACAGGGAATTTGAAGGAGGGGGTTCAAACCGTGGGCCTCCTGGTGCTTGGGAAGGACGGAGACCTTCAGATGACAGATATCCACGGGATCCTGAGGAAGCACGGTTCCGAGGAAGACGAGATGAGAGGTAAGAATAAATCTACTCATATTTTTTGGGTTAAAGGGTTAACAGAGGGAACTCTTTCTTCCTGGTTTCCTTTTCATTAAGGAGTCTATCTGTTTCAGATTTATAAACTGGAAACCAATAAGGAAATGAAAACTCTAATATACCTGAGTATAGAGTTCATAAAAATCATTCAGTAATAGAAGAAAACTTGAAAAATGGTCATTGTACACAGCAGCTTCCGTGTCTTTAAACAGTAAGTAAAGGGAGGAAATTTGTAGAGAAGATCCAGTGACACAGGATGAAGATTTGAGACCGTTTTGATGAAAATTGAGAGGAAACTTGAAGGTTAAAGTGACAAACTTTTGAACACTAGAAGTGGATTTTGAGACTTTTGTCTCCAGTCACAAACTACAGCATGACTGTAGAGACTATAGAATGAGATGTAATATACTTGTAAGGAGCAGGAACAGTGACCCTACTATCAAATATAAGGGGCAGAGCTACGGCATCTGTTGGACTATTGAGACTATTTTCTCATGGTTTTGCTGGTAGAAATTTTATTTCTCTTTCTGACTTATTTCTTAATGCCAAGTGAAGAAGTCAAAAATAATCTAATTTACAGCAATGTCCATGTCATTGCTCACAATTTCCAAATAAATCACAAAGGGATGAATTTGCTTCTAGTTACCAATGTAAATGTGGAGGAATTACACTAAGTCAGCAAGATTGACTGTCACTGAAATTGCTCCAGGTTTATGCTAGTTTTAACTGAGTTAAATTTGGCCTCCAATGTCTAAGCCTCTCACTGACCACCAACTCTATATGTATAAGAACGTGTACTTGTACAAATATATTGTGGTCTCCACATAATGTGAATTTTGTGTGTTTTAGTTGCCTTTTTAATCATTTTCTTACATTCCTTTTACTTTGCATCTATACAGCTCTTCTTTTAGCTATTTTCTACCTAGCTCTGTAAAGATGTACCTTCCTTTTGTGTGAAGAGTATGAAAAGAAATGAACAGTAACTAAAAGAAGGTAACAATTAAAGCCATTTTAAAAAAGTAAACACAGAGAGAATCCAAGCTGAATCGTCTGCATTATAGAATGCTAAAAGACACAGCAGACACTTTTAGAAACTCAGTAGAGATTTTCAGATCTTATATTGGAAATGCTTAGGGACTGGAAAATATTTATTATGGTTTGGATTTTTAAAAAGGTTTCAGAAAGAGTCCAAGAACGCTGTGACCTGTAAATCTGACTTCTGAACTAAGAAGAGTCTATTTGTCAGAGTACAAGTGTTTGTACAGAGTTTGGTTTACAAGGAATCAGCACAGGGCTATAAAAGGCTTGTTGTGCTCGATGAATTCCTTTGAATGAAGGTGAAGTAGGTGCCATTTACTGCAGATGCCGAGATGAACTTAAGAATCCCAACCACTTGTTTACCTGACTTGGTTTGGAACTTAGATTGTAACTGGTTTGATCGAGCATGAGAGGGAAGTGTGTGTATGTGTGTTTCTCTCTAATTTCCCGTCCTTTTCATCCCTGTCCTGTTCTTACTCTACCTGTGCATATCAACATGATGCTTCTACTGCAGAGACCTGCCTCTTCCTGCCTGCTAATCTGCACAGTGTGTAGTTCTGTACATTAAGGTCCTAGGCCTCAAGGAAGAAGATCTGAGAGCAGTCAAACAGGAACTAAGCCCTATGCAAGGCAGGGTTTTACATGTGACTGATATGAAAAAGTGAAAAAGGATATACATAATACAATATTAAGAGCTGTGGCCATGACAGGCATAGGTATGATAGATTTCAAAACTAAACTGTGTCCATAATGTTGCCTGGAAACAAAAGGAAAGGCCCTATTCCTGCTAGTCATAGGACCTTGTGTTGCAAATCTTGGTAATTTACAAGCTAAGCAGAATCACACCATGTCAGTATTAAAATGGGAGGCCCTCTAAAGAACATCTAGAGGGCTGTGCTGTTTCAAGGCTAAACAATATTGCTTTGTGGTTATTTGAACCATTTGTACCTGAAACTGTTCCGTTTGTTTTCCCAAATCATCCAGGTTAATGTAAAATGGTTCACTGTCCATGCACAGCACTCCCTCCATCCACTGTTGTACCTGTACAGGCACAGCAGCCTCCTCTCTGTATTGTGTTTGTTTTCTGGGAGGTGGAGACAGACCTATTGTTTTTAATGAAAGAAAAATGTAAAAGTTTAAAAATATTGTATTGTGTTATGACTACTGTTAAAATATTTAAATTTGTAATTAAAAGGTTAATGTTGTTAAAATTCTAAATAAAAGTATCTAAAGTTTTGCTTGTAATAGGATGCACTGTGTCGTTAATGAGCTGGGGAAGGGGATGTTGCACAAAGCCAACACCATCTGACGGTGGTTATGGTTTGGCCAGTGTGGAACTGGGAAGCAAGGGGAGGTGGGGGGCATCAGTGTGAACGGGCAGAGTGCTCCACACTGTCTGTGCTGTCACTGAGGGGTGGGCAGGAGAGCGTGGGGTCCCACTGTGAGGGTTGCTGAGCCAGTGTGCTTGCACCACTTAAACACCTCACCTGTGCTTGCACAGAAACTGGGCTGTAAACTGAGACAATCCTAACAGGCGGTGCTAGTGTGCACTTTTGGAGTTGCAGTTAGTACACAGAACACGTATGCACTTTTATGAGCACTCCAAGTGTTTAAACTGGTAATGTAAACAACAAAACTAGTAGTATTCACGCAGCCATCTATAGGCTTACCTGGAGTGGCAGTGACAGTTCATTAAGAACCATTCTTCTCTCTGAAGATCGCTGTTAAAACCCCAGTGTGATACTGGAGGAGCTATACTCATTTGAGATGAGATGCAGATCCCAATCATAACCAAATTACTGAAGATGCCGTGGTACTTACTAGAAAGAAACTTTAGTGTCATAACTACATTTTGCAAAAAAAATTTCTTCCTTACTGCAGTTGGATAAACTGCTCTTCAGGTTGTTGAATTCCACTGTGCATGCTGTTCAGCAATCATCCCTACAGAGCCAAGTGCAGTCTAAATTCATTTGCTAAAATTATAAATTTAGAAAAATGAAATAAAAAAGAGAATGTTCTAGCAAAAGAATCCCAGATCAATAGGAATGAGATGCTGGGATGTTTTGTTACAGCCATGACTCTCATGGCTTGTATTTTTTCAGTTTATCACTAAAATGGAAAGGAAAAAAGGGAAGGGGAAAGTAAGACCACCACAGTTAAGGGAAATTCACTTATCCTTTTCCTTACCTTATCTTGTATCTATCATCACTCAATTATTGTTTTTTCCTCTTTTCATTAAATGAACACAGTATATTTGACAATATTTTCTTGTATGAAAAACCAACACAGTCAACAGAAGGAAGTATGAATAAACAGTGAATAAACCAAGTGCTCAGAGGCAGAAAATGAGCACCTTTCCACCTACAAATCCTATTCTAGTATGTGCTTATAGTATTAAGTAAAACGGTTCAGAAATAAGTTGATTATTAAACTGAAGCTGACTCAAGTTTATCAATCTAATTTCTGCCTAAAAACCACATTTGTACCATGTTCTTTCTTGTAGCTTCAGAAGAGGAGGACCCTCGAGACATGAGGGCCGGGGACCCAGGGGGAGAGATGGCTTTCCTGGCCCTGAAGATTTTGGGCCAGATGACAATTTTGACTCTCCAGATGAAAACTCAAGAGGAAGGGACCACAGTGTTCGGGGGCGAGGTCGTGGTGCTCTTAGAGGTGAGGGGAACATTATTCCACACTGAAATGCAAGGATAAGGAAGCAAAGATGTTTCTCAAGCAAATTACAGTATTTTCATGAACACAATGTCTCTTCTCACTCCTGTCCCCTGCATCTCTTACTGCTCAGGAGGCCGGAAGGGTTTACTTCCTACTCCAGATGAACTTCCACGCTTTGAAGGAGGACGGAAACCAGAATCCTGGGAGGGAAACAGAGAACCAGGTAAAAAATTTGGTGAGGTTTCTTTTAGGTAATAGACTACTCTTCTACAATATAACCACCTACAAATATTATTTTTTTTTAAATCACCTGTTCTTCCTGTATCTCATATGCTCATTACCAGTCTTTTACCATGAGAAAAACAAAAGATAGTTCTTCGGACTTCTAACTTTAGGAAAAAAATAACTATTCAGAATTTAACTGGCTCTAAATGCAGCTGTCTCACTGAACAAAAAATGATTGTGGCCTCATGTCATGGTTTAACTCCAGCTGGCAACTAAGCACCCCACAGCTGCTTACTCGCTCCCCCCACCCTGGTGGGATGGGGGAGAGAATTGGAAGGGTAAAAGTGAGAAAACTTCTGTGTTGAGATAAAGACAATTTAACAGGTAAAGCAAAAGCCGTGCACGTGAGCAAAGCAAAACAAGGAATTCATTCTGTGCTTCCCATAGGCAGGCAGGGGCTCAGCCATCTCCAGGACAGCCGGGCTCCATCACGTGTAACAGTGACTTGGGAAGACAAAAGACACTGCTCCAAACACCCCCCCTTCTTCCCCAGCTTTCTATGCTGAGCTGACACCAGATGGTCTGGGATATCCCTGGTCAGTTGGGGTCAGCTGTCCTGGCTGTGTCCCCTCCCAGCTCCTTGTGCACCCCCGGCCTCCCTGCTGGTGGTGGGGGTGAGGAGCAGAAAAGCCTTGGCTCTGTGTGAGCACTGCTCAGCAACAGCTAAAACATCCCTGTGTTACCAACACTGTTTCCAGCACAAATCCAAAACACAGCCCCATCCCAGCTACTGTGAGGAAAATTAACTCTGTCCCAGGCAAAACCAGCAGACCTTAGTCTTGATTTTAAGTTGAATTTTTGTACAGCCCAGAACTGCCTGTTGTTGTCACCTGTGGATGACTGAAGTATATCTCGTGTGGTTTTTTGAGATGTATATTAAAGGTAATAGTAATCTTTTTCTTGGATGTCATTTTCTCTATTTGCAAAAATGTTTTCAGCTGCAGTGTCTGACAGCTTATTGGTATTTGCATTTGTGTTACTAATGGCAAAATGGCCTTATGGGGCAAAACTGAGTTTTAGAGTGTTATGGAAAAAATGAGCACAAATGACACATGAAGATATGAAGATGTGATTGTCTCTAAAATACATGAAAATAGGGTATACTGAAAAGAACACTTTAGATCTGTCACTACTTTCTTTCCCATCATCTTTTAAGCCTTTTGCTTTCTTACAAATTACTCATCTGATGTTTGCTTGTTTGCCTGTTGGGCTGGGGAGGAAGCTTTAGGTAATTTTAACTCTAAATTGTCTCCCAAATAGTGTGGAAAGTATGTAATGTACATGAGGAATAATGATCAGGTTAACATTACTTATTATCCTGTTTTTTCTCTTCATGCTCAGGTCCTCGTCCAGATCACCCTCCTCATGACGGGCATTCTCCAGCTAACAGAGAGCGTTCCTCTTCGCTCCAGGGCATGGACATGGCCTCACTGCCACCACGTAAACGTCCCTGGCATGATGGACCAGGGACCTCTGACCACAGGGAAATGGATGCTCCAGGTGGACCTCCAGAGGAGAGGGGCAAAGGTAATTTGTATGTATTGAAAACCTTATGTAACACAGGCACATTTTTCAACAGTAGGCTTATCCAGAATTCCTCAGCTATTCAAAGCTGACCTGGTAAATATTTGATCTTGCCAGCTGTGAAGCTGAAGACCAATCTTATAGGAACGTAAAAACATAGGGATTTTCTGAGACATCAAATCCAGATCTTCTCTCCAGCATCATATAAACCTCTTCTTTATTGCCCTGTTCAAAAGCAGTTAAGGTTTTGGCTCCCTGTTACTCCAGTTGGAAAACCCTTGTTAAGAGCTTTTTTCCCCTCTAACTTTCAGAATACTTATTTAATATTCATGCTTGTGCTAGTGTCCTTTAACTCAAATATCTTTCCCGTCTCAGCCTTCATTCTGTTGGACTTAATGAACCCTGACTTTTTTTAAGCCTTTCCTTATATGAGTTCTCTACTTTTTAAGAGTGTACACATGGCCATCCATGATCAAACCAGAAAGACCAGAAAGTCCATAAAGCTCAGTAGTTTTACGTCTTCAGTGATAGCCAGTAATACCTACTGAGGGAAGAGTGTCATGACCACTGGAAGTCTGTAGTGCTATGTCCCTGAACTGCTCTCTAAACCTGTGAAGATCTGTAGTTCAGTTACTTACTGAAATATTATTCTTATATTTAATGGCTTTTGACAGTTACCTTTTGTGTGCTTTTCCAATTGCTTTAAGAATCATATAAACTTTTGACATCCACAGACAGAGCTCTAAAACTTAATTGCAGTAGACCATGCTTTAAAAAAAGAGAGGAAGGAAAATGTTTTTCTCTTGTTCTAAGCCTAACATTCACTAATTTCATTCAATGATGTCTTATGTTTTAATTGGAACAGTTGAAAGTTGATCCGTATTATTTCTGAATGGCACCTCTGATTTAATTGCATTGAACTCTACTGTTTCCATACTGAACTAGCTCTTCTCCAAGTCAGAGCTCTGACCTGCTTAGATGTTCTCCCTGGGAAGTTGTTCGGTATCTTTTACTATGCTTATTACTCTGTATATACTAATTTCAGTTTTAATTTATCCTTTTGTAAATTTAATGGGGTAACCAGGAATTGCACATGCTAAGATGTGGTTTAACCATGGATTTCTACAGTTCTGGTTTTGTTCTGGTTTCTCCGTTCTTTCCTAATAGCTCCTGATGTGACTAATAGATAGAGGGAAACAGGACGTGGCACTGCCATGCAATTAGCTACCATAACCCAAAGAATACATTCTTTTGGAGTTAGTAGCTGGTTCAGAGCCTGTAACTGGGTACGCCATTTCCACAGTCATCCTATTAGCCCTGCACCAGTTCTTGATCCTTTTTCTTCTTATAAACCTCAGGATTGCCACTGTCTTTTTTCAATGTTGTCTCTTTTTATAATGATCTCTGTCACTGGTAGGTAGTGATCAAGTGACAGAGATCCTTCTCAGTTGCTTCTAAATGCTGAGCTACCAGCCTATAGCTGAATTTTTTGTTAGACCTCTACTGCACAGATTTGTCTTTGATGCCACTGAATTTCATCCCACTTCCTCTTATCCTGAAGCTCATTTAGTTTTAACTATATGCCAGTCCTCCTCTGTGTGGACTGCATTTCAAGTGTCATATTAACATCAGGTTTTACCATTTGTTCACAGACGTTTTTAATAAAATTCTGCTGGTAAACTCCCTCTGTTATCGCTATTTTTCCTTTCAAAACTGTATGTTGTGTTTTAGCCAGCATCTTACCAAATCTGTAAGGATTCCTTCTCTAGATTCAATAATTATTTGTGGTAAGTCTATCTGATTCTTTATTGAAGTCAAAACAATTGTTAACTACCACATTTCTTGTGCCTAGACAGCTCATTAATGTACCAAAGGAAGTTCAGAACAACGGCAGAAAGCCTGATAAAACATGAGCAATACTTTTTCATATATGGGCTGTCAACCTTCAGTTGTATTGGTAAAGTCATTTGAATATTAAAATTTCATGAATTGTAAACTCTGTGGAAAAATTTGGTCTCTATTTTACACAGAACCAAGCAGAGTCAACAAAAAAAGTCACTCTTGCTAAAGTGGAGCAAAAATATCCTCATTTAGCTGTAGCATGTGTACATAATGCACCATTACATTTTTCAAAATGCTGCTTGTTATTTTGAGCTAGTAACTGTGGGGTTTTTTTAATCTTGATTTACATAC